AGGAAAGCACTAGGTCGGCGTCTTTTTTTTGTTTCTCCATTTGCTTTTTAGTGTATTTGGGACCACCCCGGCCCTGTAGAGGGCAGCGGGAGTTAATTTTCCCAGAAAATTTCCAAAACTTCCCTATTGGGTCTACTGCGTCATTCTAGGCAGGAGAAAAGTTTTTGTTTGTTATATTACCTCTTTTTTGGGGATACAACCGAAGAAAATCATAACCTAGAAACCCACAAGTTATTTGAAAATCATTGCTTCTTTCTGTATTTTAAAGTGTAACCCCCTTTGTCAGCTGTAATTATGGGGAGCCTGTAGCGGCTTTTCGTCAATGTGCCCCCTGAGGGGAACCCGAAGGAAGAGGGCAAAGACAGAAACACCGGACCCCACAGCTCGCACTGGAGGCTTCAGTGACAGGTCGTACCAAAGTACCAAAATGCAATGCACATAGCAAATTTGGCATAAACCCCCTGGACCGATTAATAATAATAATAATAAAAAAAAAAAAACAATTGAATACCCAAATTTAAAGGTTTTAAAATGTTTTGGCCAGTTTCTTTCCTAATAGGTTTTTGGGGGCACTTGGGCAAATGCGGCAAGTTGCATGCAGCCCCTTTTTGTGTTCAGTGAACTTTTTCCTTCCTGTTTCCCCGCAGTTCCACGTTTGCATTGGCAACTCACGTAAAAAACCTGGCAGGATGTTACGTAGTAGATTGTAAAAAGTGTCTTTTTTGCAACTTATTGCAACACAAAGATCAATGTTGTGCTTTTTTTGGTAACTCTGTGTTCTTAAATTTTTCGGGTTTTCTGAGCAAAAACCCGTGTGACCCCTCACAGTTTTGCCCTTCAGGGAAGTAAAATATGCAGAGATACACAAGAGGTAGATAGTAATGGTTAGGGGTATGACGATACACAAAAATTCATGTATTTGATAAAAAGGGATTGTTGGGTGCAGAAGCGTTTGAGTTTTGGGGAATTATACAAACAACCTTTTTTAAAAGCGGTGAAAAAAAAGCAATTCCCATCCCAAAATGGGGGGATCCGTAATTTTCCCCCTCCCCGTTACATTTTATTTGGACAATAGCACCCGCCCCTGTCAGAAAAAACTTACAGCTGCAGATGCTGATTGAGGAAAATTTTCCAACATGTCCCCTTTTACAGACGTTTTAAAAAAGACAAATTCTGTCTAAAGGGGATGGCCAAACACGTCAAAAATTTCACTTGGTCCTCGCTGAACAGCTGAATTCAATCGATAAATGGCAGCTTTTGGTAGCCATAGAAGGGACAATTTTGGGATGTTCACTGCATATATGAAATATTCAAGAAGAGCAAAGATTATACTTGCAGCTTCCTGTAAACAAATACAATCACAAGTCTCAAAATCGGAGAGTATATATATATATATATATATATATATATAAATAAAATAGATCATTCTCTCCGCTGATGCCATTTGTTGAGAATTTTCAAAAGATACAAATAAGAAAACATCAAACAACCTGCATCATAATATAATTTCTATGGAGTTGCTTTAAAATGATTGAAAAAAATAATGATTATGGAGATTTAGAAAATGATTTAAATCTTTCCAAAAAGTACACGAGTATGTCCGATAGACCTTTTGCAGAGGGGAATATAATTATATGATCCCCGCAGATTTTGAAAGTTGCACCACTTATACAAAGCAATGAAAGGAGTCTATAATTTTTTATCTATTATGTGTATTTGTAAATGATAGATGTCAGAATTAACAAACCAAAAATCCAGAAAAAAACACGATACAAAGGTTATAATATTGAGTGTTGCAGTTCACTGTAAATATAAATAAGTATTTGACCCCTCCTACCTAACAATAATTCTGGTCCCCACAGATTGGCTAATGTGCTCAAGTGATACATAGATTAGTCTGGTAAACTTAAGAAGTGCTCCTAAGATAACTCTCATGTGTATAAAGACACCGTGATCCACCAGAATCTTTTTCTTCCATTCAAACCTCACCACAATTCTGGGCAAGACCAAGGAGCTGTCAAAGGACCTCAGAGACAAGACTGTAGTGCTGTACAAGGCTGAATTGGCTACAAGACCATCAAGAATCTTGTGAGAAGGAGGCAACTGTTGGAGCGATTATTTGCAAATAGAAGAAATACAAAATAACCATCAATCGCCCATGGTCTTTAGCTCCATGCATGATTTTGCCTCATGGGGTAAGGATGATCATGAGAAAAGTGAGGGATCACCCCAAAACTACACAAGAGGAGCTTGTGAATGATCTCAAGGTAGCTGGGACAACAGTCACCAAACAAACCATTGGTAACACAGTTACTCTAACATGGATTGAAATTATGCAGCGCTTGCAAGGTCCCCTTCCTCAAGAAAGCACATGTACAGGCCCGTCTGAAGTTTGCCAATAAACATCTAAATGATTCAAGAGAAGGATATAGTAGAAAGTGCTGTGGTCAGATGAGACCAAAATTGATCTCTTTGGCATTAACTCAACTCGCTGTGTTTGGAGGAAAGAAAAATGCTGACTATAGACCCTAAGAATATCATCCCTACAATCAAGCACGGAGGTGGAAACATTATGCTTTGGGGCTGTTTTCTTTGCTAAAGGTTAACAGTCTGCGACTTTGCTGCATTAAGAGGCCAATGGACAGGCCATGTATGATTAAAATCTTGGATGAAAACCTTCTTTCCTCCAGACACAACACTGAAGATGGGTCCGGATGGTCTTCCAGCATGAAAATGACCCAAAATATACCGCCAAGGCAACATGGAGTGGCTCAAGAAGAAGCACATTAAGGGCATGGAGTGGCCTAGCCAGTCTCCAGACCTTATTCCTATAGAAAATGTATGGAGGGAGCTGAAACTTCGAGTTGCCAATGTGACAGCCAAGATATTTTAGGATTTAGAGAAGATCTGTAAAGAAGAGTGGCTAAACTTTTTTTATAATCTAACCCTGCTTTAAACTTCTCCACAACTGAATACTTTTTCTCAAGGCATTTGTACATGCACATTTTTTTCTATTTGCAATATGGGTTCATTAATTTTTGCAAAGGGTGGAATTTGTCTTTAAAAACATTCTTGTCAATACACCTGCAATACAGGCCATATATAAAAGTGAAACTCGAAAAATTAGAATATCTATATACTAGTTATATACTATATTATACTATATACTAGTTATAGCAGCTATAGCAGCAAGAACTTGCTCTGGTAAGATGAGACCAAAATTGAACTTTTTGGCCTAAAAGCACAATGCTACACATCACCCTGAACACACCATCCCCACGGGAAACATGGTGGTGGCAGCATCATGTTGTGGGGATGCTTTTCTTCAGCAGGGACAGGGAAGCTGGTCAGAGTTGATAGGAAGATGGTTGGAGCCAAATACAGGCAATCTTAGATGAAAAACCTGTTAGAGTCTGCAAAAGACTTGAGACTGGGGTGGAGGTTCACCTTCCAGCAGGACAACAACCCTAAACATACAGTCAGAGCTACAATGGAATGCTTTAGATCAAAGCATATTCATGTGTTAGAATGGCCCAGTCAATGTCCAGACCTAAATCCAATTGAGAATCTCTCCATCCAATCTGACAGAGCTTGAGCTATTTTGCAAAGAAGAATGGGGAAAAATGTCACTCTCTAGATGTGCAAATCTGGTAGAGACATCCCCCAAAGAGACTTGCAGCTGTAATTGCAGCAAAAGGTGGTTCTACATAGTAATGACTCAGGGGGACTGAATACAAATACATATACACATTGAAGTGACTAGCTTCAGGTGATACACAGATAAAACAAAATTCTACATAAGTTGTCCCTGTTTATCTGTAGCCAGCAAAAGTACAAATTTTACACTGCATTTCTGAGTTCCAGAAGGCAGGGGGCAGGGATCGGATGTCATACACTGCACATCATAGAGCAGTGAGTGAAATGTGAATCCTGATGGAAGGGAATGGAGACTCTCCCCTCGACACAGTTCCATAGGGAAACATACACAACAGAGGCAATCACCTTCTGTGTGCTGGAGGGGGGCGATTCCCTGGGATTCTGTGGTGTCCACATAACCTGTCAGAAATGACTCATGCAGATAGCAGAGGGAGGAGTACACAGGAACCACACTAGGTGCTTTGGACTGAGGCAGGTACACACTATAAAGGCATATGCTTTGTTCGTTTTTTATTTCAGAGGTTTAAATTTCTAGTGCTGTTCATGACATATGTTTTACTCTTTAGGCAGCCTGACCACATCCCAATAATAAAAAAAACATGTGTTCCATTGGGCTTTAATACATGTACTTGACAAGGTTTGCTCTCAGTTACTATTTCTACTGTATCACGTGTTACTACAGAGAAAAAAAAAAAAGATAAAACTTATTTCCAATACACTGCATTGCTGAACTGTCCTTACATTTACCTGCAGCACAAACAGATATACAGAAGTGAATGGAATCTTACACTTTCTTTATGTTGTTTAAATCAATGTATGTAATAAATTGTAATAATTACAGTGAACTACATTTGCATGAAAGTGAAAGAGGCATTTAGGAGTATGGTGTAACGTCCTACGAATTATACTAGATGTGAAGGATGTTCTGATGCAGTTTTCACAATGTATCCTTCCGCTGTGCATAATAAGTATCATGTAAATTGTGCAATATTTACACAGTACCAACATTTCATACTGCCACACTTTTAGCTTTTTTAAATGCAGAAGTGATCCAGGAAGTTTAAACAAATGTTATTCCTCCTAGATCACCATTTACAATTGGTGTGAAAAGCACTATTGAAAAATCATTGTATGCATTTAGAAACATCCTCTAAGCACAAATACATGCAAACTTGACAGATTCAGTGTGAATGAGGCCTAAACCTCAGTAGAATAAATCAAGCATTGGAGGTCATACACAGTCTACCATTATATTTGTTACATCAGTTTATTCCATGCTTGTATATACAGATCACACAAATGTGTACACAATATGTACAATACACAAATCTTCAGTCCATAACTTAGCCTCGCTCACAGATGACGTCTATTACACTCTGCTCCATGGGCGCAGGATCCAAACACCGATGAGCTGCACTGCACACCACCTCATCTAAGAGGCAATGGACTAGATTTTCATCACTGACAAATCGCCACAGATACAACTGCAGGTAGTGACAATCAACTTGTATTTGCTGCAGACCAAAGCGGCCAAATGTGCGTAAGCGGACACACTCCAGGAACGTCTTCAGGCTGATTTTTATAATACCAGTAAGGATGGAAACCTGAGAGAAGACAAATGGGACACAACAAGACATTCACTTTGCAATCCCAGATTTTATTAGAACACAATCCAATGTCAAGAAAGGCACCAACCATAGAACCCCCCAGTACTTTTAACCAGAAATATCTTCATTAACATGCGACAAGTTACTAAACAAAAATCCCTTTTTAAGGGAACCTCCATTACAGTAGTTACAGTTCCTGCACATACTGCCCCCCCAACACACACGCCTTATTCAAAGCTACACTTATCTATTACATTTAAAACTGTAAGAAAGAACCAGTGATTCTAATGGCCTAGGATTTTCTAGAAAGAGTATAAATCTTCTGCAACATTAAAAAGGTAACTCCACTATAATGGGAAACAAAATTAGCAAATAAAAAAAGTTAATACAGCATACACAATTTCTACACTTCACATTGTACATGAATTTTATTAAAGATTGAAAACTTTTCCTTTTCAATCTGCAGCGCTGTAACTTTCTGTAAAATGCAATTCAATATGGCAGCCTGGAGCTGTTCTGTACATAAATGGTGTACAGAACACCCCCAGATATGTCATTTCCTGCTTGTGTGATTGGCTTACTGATTTTCCCAGAAGTTTGCACAAGTCAGATTTTTGGCACTCCCTGCAACAAAAATGTAATCTTTGGTGAGATACACCCAAAGAGAAATCACGTCTAAAAGGGATGCAGACTCTGCCACTTTCCTCACTAGAGCCCTGCAAGTGCAACAGCTGATAATTATAAAATGACTCCCATTAGATTCACTCTGCACATGGACACAGACAGAAAAACTGCTATTCCTTCAGAAGAAAAGAAATTTAGGAATCTGCAACAAAGTTTGTAAAAATCCTTGCATTTTCTCTCAAAAAAGTGAAGTTACTCTTTAAGCTCCACACCTATATACACCGCACTATCTAGAGCAGTGGTTCTCAACCTGTGGGTCGCGACCCCTTTGGGAGTCGAACGACCCTTTCACAGGGGTCCCCTAAGACCATCAGAAAACACATATTTCCGATGTGTAAAGAGCAGCTACTGTGTAGAAAGCAGCTGCTGTGTTAAAAGCAGCTACTGTGTTGAAAGCAGCAGTATTGGAGGTAAAACGACACTCGTGAATTATAATTACTGGGTAAATAATTTTATGGTTGGGGGTCACCACAACATGAGGAACTGTATTAAAGGGTCACGGCATTAGGAAGGTTGAGAACCACTGCTCTAGAGGCTTATAATACTCTTCTTATTTAACTGTTTAGCTACACAAAACAATGCTATAGTGAACCTTAGCAATTATGAACAAAGTCTTATTTTAAACTATTTTTAGTATCCATATATAACATACACATTTACCTAACGTATGCCTTAAACAGGGGTTGAACACATTCAACAAAAATAAAAAATAATGTTCCTGCCTTTGGATTTTCAATCTTACCTCTACACATTGATCATATTCTGTGTGTTAACAATTGTTGTTTTGGGCTGTGATTATCAGAAGATACTTAAAATATGTCAAACTGGTTTTCCAGTATAACATGACAGTTGTCTGAGCAGTTAACCATGCCAGAACATGGAAGGCTAACACAGGGAAAGTATAAGTCAAACAAGAAAGGCAAGGGACACACTATAAAAGAAGGCAAACAAAAATATTCAAAAGAAAAAAATTGTTTTACCTTGTTAAACTGCACAGTGCTAAATATGTCTATTCTCTCTGAGAATAACTTCTGGATGTTACTTAGAAGGCTGGTGTCCAGGGGTGCACTAAGTGAAGTGAAACAAGCACAATGATATCTTTAATTTTACAAAGTACCAATATATTCAACAGCACCAGATACAACTACAAAATGTAATAACATGGATTTAATACAATATACAAAACAAATGGAAGAATGGCTTCACTTGAACAGCTTAAAAATACCATCCAGAAAGTGCAGACTAAAAGACCACGGGGAGGTGATTGCTGGGTGTTAATTAAAATAAACCCAGTGCACTGATTATAGCTTCAAAGTTTTGTTCCTGGAGTTATTATGGCTGTGAAACTCTACCTGTAGATCTCGGCCAGGTGACCAGTAGATCGCAATCTGGACTTGCTGACCTGCCATCCCAAAGCATCAGAGTTTAATGCAAAGTTGGATCTGCAGTAGGGAGCAAGAGCCACATATGCCGATGCCTCCTCTGTAGTGCTGGCTCCTGTCCCATGCAGAGTGATACCAACTGCACTCCACCTCTTATCCTGGCTAGCAGTCCCCAGAGTGGAGCCAGCAGCAGGAAAGAAGAGATCTTCAGGTCAGTGTAGAGCAATACACTGGACAGAATAGAATAAAACTGCTTTCACACTGTTACGCTGCGATTAACCCACACCGAGGGTGCAGTGCAGTGTACCTGCAGCTTTCCTGGGGGTTTGCAGCACTTAGCCATAGACTTCTATTTTATCCTGTGGGTTTGGTGCACGTTCTGAAAGCGCACCAAAACTCCTGAATACAGGAAAGTGCACCACATCTGCAGGATAAAATAGAATTATATGGCAAAACTAACCCAGGATAGTCAGGTGGAGGACTCTTTCCACCTCAATGTGACAGTGCTGAGTGCTTAAACAGCCCCTCACCAAACACCATGACTATCAAGTGGGAGGGAGAAGAGTGAATCAAACACCTGGAAAAACCTTTTTTTTTTTTTTTTTTGCGGTGACCAAAGTGGCAGGATAATAAAGGGATAGGGAAAATGTACTGCTGGTGGAACCAATATTAACGTGAACCTGTTGCTTTGCTCTGTATTTGAACCTGTTCCCACCAGCTTTACACATATATGCGTCATCTCAGAATTGGGCCTTCCTCTGAGGGGCTGCATGTATGCACAGCTGTGTTTGTGCTGAAAATGCTTCCAAACATGGAGACCAAGCTGTCACCGACAGCTACTGGTCTCATACTAATGATTGGCAGTTGGAAGAAACAGCTGCCAAAACACAATTACTGTGATAGATTGTTACGATCACAGTGAACACTATCTGTAAAACCTGTCTCTTGTACTCTCTTTCTCCTCTTGAATGGAGAAAAAATATATACTGGGTGGAATTGAAGATTTGTGCACATGCAAGCCTACACCACTCTAACATAAAATATTAAGCAGATACAAGTCCCTTTGTTAATTAGGAACGATCAGTTCTATGTTCTGCCATGTTTGTGACATGCAGCACAGAGAATGGAAAGCTGAAGTTGCAAGCTATAATCTCTCTGCCATCACTGCCCCTCAATTAAAGATAAAATAGCTGGATCAGGACTTGATTGGTTGGTACCAGTGTCACAGCCAGTGTGTTTTATGCAGGGCTAATGTATTGTGCACATACAGTGCGGAAATTATTTGATCACGTGCAGATTTTGTACGTTTGCCCACTTACAAAGAAATGAAAGGTCTAGAATGTTTATCATAGGTGTATTTTAAATGATAGAGACCAAAAATCCAGAAAAAAACATGATACAAATGTTATAAATTGAATTGAGTAAACAGTGAGTAAAATAAATATTTGATCCCCTACCAACCAACGAGAATTCTGGTCCCCACAGACTGGCTATGTGCTCATGTGGTACACAGATTAGTCCTGTCAACTTAAGAAGGTGCTCCCAACCACAACTCGTTATGTGTATAAAAGAAACTTGTCCACAGAATCTCATTCTTGCATTCAAACCTCACCATCATGGGCAAAACCAAAGAGCTTTCAAAAGGATGTCAGGTACAAGATTGCAGACATGCACAAGGTTGGGACGGGCTACGAGACCATCAGTAAGAAGCTTGGTGAGAAGGAGACAACTGTTGGAGTGATTATTCACAAATGGAAGAAATACAAAACAACCATCAATCGTCCTCAGCCTGGAGCTCCATGCAACATTTTGCCTCATGGGGTAAGGATGATCATGGGAAAATTGAGGGATCAGTTCAGAACTACCCGAGGAGCTTGTGAATGATTTCAAGGCAGTTGGAACCACAGTTACCAAACTAGTTATTGGTAACACAATATGCCATCATGGATTGAAATCCTACAGCGCCCGCAAGGTCCCCCTCCTCAGGAAGACACATGTACAAGCTTTTCTGAAGTTTGCCAATGAACATCTAAATGATTCAGAGAAGGATTGTGACAAAGTGCTGTGGTCAGATGAGACCAAAATTTTGTTCTTTGGCATTAACTCGACTCGCCATGTTTGGAGGAAGAAAAGCGCTGACTATGGGCCAGTTTTCCTTTGCTAATCAAAAAAATTCAAAAGATATCCATTACCATTTACTAACAAATAAAGGCCCAATTTATTCAGAAAAAACAAGGTATAATTCACCTGGATAATGAAAAGTAGTAAAAAAAAATAAAAAAATAAACAAAAAAAATAAAATAGGGCCCGTGCAGGATAATGTCATAATGTGCTAGTATGAATTGCATACTAGCACTTTATGACAGATTAGCCCTCCAGCAGCTGTCGCCGCTGACAGGGCTTCTATCTTCACCTGGTCTTCCTTCCAAGTTCGTGGGCTCTGGCTGTTTGAATGGCCGAGCCGCGATGATGTCACTCCCGCACATGTGCGCGGGAGTCAGTTGCAGCACAGCTCTCTCTCAATAGTCACCATGCTGTCCATTGAGAGCACAGTGTGCTTGTGTCAGTGACATCACCAGCTACTAGTAACGTAATATCTCCTAAACGGTGCACGTTTAGGAGATATTTACTATACTGTAGGTATGAACAGAAAATGGGATATTACTACCACTTTAAGTAGATTGAAAGCTATGTATGGTTTTACAAGTCAAAGTTATCAATACCGACTTCAGGCGTTCATGTTGGCTTTACTTTCACTATGAAGGAGTTAAAGGCGGCACAGAATACAAGGGACATAGTTCTTGTTTTTCTTCTCATATATTCACCTGGGGGTGTAGCTCTGTGCATATCTCCCCTGCAGACGTGAGCTGCTATACACAGAGAAGGTGCGTTTACTGGAATCACTACTATGTGCTTTCCGCACTCCTTCCTCATACAGTAGACCCACCTGTGCAAATCAATAAGAAATGTAAGGAAAAACATTGCTATTTGAAGATAAAAACATTTGTGTGTATTAGAGTTGTCTTGAAAAGACAGCACAGCATTAGTAGGTCATTACTGCAGATCAATATCATAATTGCTAGGCAACAAAGCTGACTCACCTGTACATCAACACTAGTAATATCTTCCACTACTCTCTTCATAACTGCCCGGACATTCCGTGGTTCTATGGTCATCACCCAGTCCCGAGTCTCAACACTCTTGCGCAACATCTGAGAAACAACTAGACCCTGAGACTTCACATACTGATTGAGCAGAGTCTGAGCGGTGGAGCGAGCCAATGAGCATAGCGTGCTGACGGGAGTGACTGGAGAGTGGTCCTATAAAAAAAAATGACATCTACAACAATAAAAGACTGGAAATAACACTAAATATGCACGTCACTAACGTTTAATGTAATAACATATAAAAGGAAATACATCCCTGCGGCACCCAAAAATTGCAAGCTTTGACACAGCTATCTGTACTAATTATTTCTTATGAATAACGATTTACCAGCAGTGCCCATTTCTTGTTCTACATGGCCGATTAGGAGTGAAAACTACTGTTCCAGAAAGCTTGGGCCTGGTGTAAAACAAACGCACGTCTGATGTTAAACTGATTCTTCGTGCTTTGGACAAAATCTAGCCATTGCATGCAATGGAGAAATACCAGAGCCATCAACCACAATAAAAAAAGGATTTATAAATTACAAATACTGAGCTAACAGAGCAAGTGCTGCTGTGTTCATAATGGAAAAGAAAATCTCCCACCCTCAATCAGTAAATTAACTTTCCTCGGCATGATTCCCAGCACTGAGGGAACATAAACATATGATACCCTTCCACGGTACTTTTAGTTTTCACTGTTACCCTGTGAACAGCTAGCAATTGACATCGTGCATAGACTGCTCCAAAAGGGAAAGGTTAAAAGTGGTTCCTGATCATTTGTTCACTTTGTTCTGAAGATGGTAACTGTTCGATACATTTACAGTCATTTAAAAAATTATTCAACAAATATTAAATATATATATATGTTTTTTTTTTTTTTTTTTTAAAGCAGACAAATTAGGCATTAGCATATAGTCAAATTTACTGACACGTACTGACTCTACTAATATTTGGCTTGGGCATCTAGGGATTAATGACCCTGGGCAAATAAGACCAGCAGGATTACTAACAGGGATGAACTTGGGCATTTTTGGATCCTAGTCCAAACCCATTTAAAGCGGAATTAAAAAGGGATCTATGCCTTTTCTTCCAATGATTCATGTCCCTTGCCAGTACCGACAACTTCTCCTGTGTGCTGGTTTTCAGCCATGCTCATTGGCACAGGAGGTCGTCATTCTGGCACACAGTGATCGGGCCAGCCGCTTTAAGCTGAGCTGTGCATGCGCAGCTCATTTTACATGCGGGGGGACACTACAGACAGGCAGGTAGATTTATTTTATCGAAAAAGAGTCATTGCATGTCTCTTCTGCAATAAAAATCCTGCCTGCTCGCAGTGAACTTTAGTTCCGCTTTAAGCAATCCCACGAGAAAGCGGTCATTTGTACTGTGCAAAATTATAAGCAGCTGAGATATTCTCTGCCCACCGTTGCATGTATACAAGGGAGAGTGCATCCATGTGGCTGTGGGGAAGGAAATGCCTCAGCTAATTATGACTGGCCCATTACAGTGACAGTTTCCTGGCAGGATTGCTCAGGTGGGTTTGGACTAGGAACCGAACACCATTTTATCCTAACTGGAGGTCACATTCAGCGAAAACACAATAAAATGCAGCAGTGGTTTTACCAGGCCCAGAAACTGTTCATCTGTCAAGGTCAGTATGTAGCTGATGGTTGAGGTCTCATAGTCCAAGCAGAGGCGAGAGAGAAGTAACAAGAGCAGTGGTGGTGTATTGGCACTCTTTTCACCTGGGGAGTCACAGAACTGTCGCGCTGTCTGGCACACAGACTTGATGAAAGCTACAATCAGTCCTTCCCGGACACCTTGACTACAGAATTCACCCTAGCAAGAAAAAAAGTGAAAGAATTGTAACACAGCGAGAAGCTGGAAAAGGAAGAGTAAGAAATTATGATGGATATATTTTACAACTGGAACTTTAGAACAAATGTTATTTTAGTTTTGACCAGAGTAAGGGACAAAACATTTGCTGAGTTTCTATTTCAAGCTATATCTCAGTGTCCCAGTGATGGTGATAACCAAAACAGGAAGTAAAGGTAAATCACCAACACATATTCCAGCTTCCAGCCAGGGGCGGACTGACCATTTGGAAACTAGGGCACTGCCCGAGGGACCTGGGTCAGTAGGGGGCCCCATGAGTTGCCCCTGGTACCTTTTTCATAGGCTTTTTTGAGTTTGGGCAAGGACACAGGGGCCCCATGATCCCCTATTGCCTGGGGGCCCCATGAGTTGTCAGTCCGTCCCTGCTTCCAGCTCTTTCCCACTCAAATAAAAACTAAAACAAACCTTGAGATTATTTCATATCATTAGAAAATGCAGTTCTGTCTTTGAATTTTGGCATTAATTTATTCATAGATAAGGTATCCTACTTGTCTGACAGGCCCCTTACATTTGATCAAACTCTGTATGGCTATGCCACCTTAATTCTGTTTTCGCCCTCTGCAAGTTTACATATGCAAGCAAAGCCATCTGGCTTTTTTGATAAGATTTGAGGATTGTGGACTTCCTCTCCTCACACTAGAGCGAACTCTCCATTGTAACCTCAGCAATCTCAGTATAACGAAGCACATAAGGAAACTATCAAAGTGAGTAATGTAGCAAATCAGTGAAAAAAACAAGATAAATTATATCTAAATGTGTCACAGTATAACCAACAACAGAATAATAAACAAAGTCCTTCCAATGTAAATCTATCACAGGCCGCTGTGATTGTTCTTTTACCTCATCACGTGATCAGCTGTGTTTATAGGACACAGTGCTCACGGAGATCGCCGGGTACGCTCCGCTGAGCGCGTTATGAGAGGACGTCATATGAAGTCCTCCCAGAACTGGACAACAGCGCTGTAGCCATCATTCAGTCAATGCAAGGTCCTCCACCACTATGCACTCACCAGAGAGCTACTTTGTCAGTAGTATGTATATCATGAGTGAGGTCTATGCCATCCGCTCTGCAGCAACTTTACCAGTCCAGTTAGACCCTAATAAGAGATGCTCACCACACGGAGCCCCAGGGTGCGGTAGTTTTAATGTCATAAAAATATTCCATATAACACATTCCACGTGGAATAATCAATGTATCACATACCAAGATGGCCGCCTCTCCAGAACGCGGACGTCACGCCACCGTGTCCGCGATCCGGAGTGGCGGCCATCTTGGTACGTGATACATTGTTTGTTCCACGTGGAATGTTTCATATGGAATATTTTTATGATCATTAAAACTACTACACGATATAATCAACCCTGGGGTTCCGTGTGGTGAGCATCTCTCCGGACTGGTAAAGGTGCTGGAAAGCGGACGGCATTGATATACATCCTACTGACCAAGTAGCTCTCTGGTGAGTGCATAGTGGTGAAGGACCTTGAACTTGATAAAGAGCACTTTGTGTGATTGAACACTATCTGTTGTGATTGACACCATAAGTTTACAGATTTAAATTGGAAGGACTTTATTATTTATTATTCTGTTGTTGGTTATACTGTGACACATTTAGATATAATTTATCTTGTTTTATTCACTGATTTGCTACATTATTCACTTTGATAGTTTCCTTATGCTCTGCATTATTTTCTATTTACTTTGGTATTAAGATTTTGTCACCATCTTTTTGTGCCAGCTGCTTCTGTATCTATAGCGCTCCCGGTTTACTTTTGAATTTGAATCTCATATAACCGGTTGGGAGTGTTTTGAACACTTTGTTTTCACGATAATCTTACCCAATAAGATTCCCTCTATGCCAACAATTCTGTATTCTATACAAGGCTGATCCTAGATTTCTAGTATAGTCACTGTGGGGGAGATTTAAAATCATGTGCAGACCTGCAAAGAAACCAACCTGTTTTCAGGTTTTATTGTCAAAGCTAAAATTGAACAAGCTGAAGTTAAAAGCCGACTGGCTACCATACACTACTGCACCAGATTCTGAGCGATCAATTTTTTTTAGTAAATCTCCCCTATATGTCCTATTGTACTTTGATGACGGCATCTGCTTTTATTTTTTTTCACCCCCATTGTTGTTAGGGGATCATTGTGACCCTGTATTGACCTCATGTAAACTTAATAAAAATAATCTTGAAAAAAAAAAATTAAAACTTCCATTTAAAAAACTGACTGCACTTACCTTAAAGTATGGTTTGTCTGAGAAAGCCACATCTTTAGCTGTGAATAGGTGCACTGAGGCCAAAACAGATTTAATCTGGTTTAAAACAGACCCAGAAAGCATGGCTAGTAGTTCACCCAATGCTGGAGCTTCTTTCCCAGGAACTCTTGGAGCTGCAAGTGCTTGTCGAACGTCAGTTATACATCCCTGGAAAAAGTCTTTTAAAGCCTGTAGGTACTGAGCCAGCCGCTCCTGTGCTGCTCTAACCACAATCTCCGTTCCTCTCCGATTAAAACTGCACCCCGGTACCAGCTTGGAAGGTGCCTGGAGCCGTCTATGGAATCTGTCCAGTGCCCGGACTAAGAGCGAGTTGTCTCCTGGACTCTTTTCCTCTCGCAACCGCTTCTCAACTATTTCAAAGTAGCCTTCACTGAGCTCATCTAGGAATGTGGTAAGCTTCCGCTCAGCCATCTGTGCTGTGCTCCCTGGATCTTTACAGAACAGACTCTGGTAAGAAGCTGCTAGAAGACAGGCGTCACTAATAAATCCACCACAGCCCCGGTCAACAAATTCAGAATGTCGCTGGCCCCCTCCAGATCAGAGAGGTGAGAAGCCAAACGTCCACGTCCATGAGCTAGAAACTCATCACAAAGCAGGTGAGCTGGCTCCTCCAGACTCAAAAGCAATTCAATACATTCAGATAGGTCCTGGGGGGAAGAAGAAGGATCCCTGCAGGAGAAGGCCATGATATTAGTAAGTGATATAGATATGACAAAGAGTACAGTCAACAAAAAGATATAAGAAAACACAATTATCATCGAGATAGGGGCCTTGTCCATGCCAAAATTAGTTGTTGAAATGCCTGAGATTACATTGTATTGACTAAGCATCTGCACTTTAAGTGTAGATAGTTAACTGAACATATATAAACAGTATACTGTATATCTATTCTGAAATTCTAGCAGCCAATACACTAAGCAGGACCACTACAAAATGTTGAGATATAATGTATTTAGGCAATCATGTAATGCATATGTGCAGCAACAGAGACTGGGGCTCCCAGGACAGTAACCAAGCCATCACAGACAGCTTCCAGTCTCTGTATATTATTAGGAGTCAGCAGGGCAGGCTCCCAATCATGTGACCATTGTGAGAGACAACCACCGAGATCACGGGATCAGGAAATCTCCCTTCTCTTCCTGTTAGCAACCAGTTTAAAAGGCCGCCAGGAGGGGGTGGGAAGGGGTTAAAAAGACTATTAGGATACATATATCCTAATCATAGTGTTCCATAGTGAAATACATGTATTATACTTTTCAGGATGACCTCTGTTAAAAGGAATCGTCTTGCTGTTCCAGACTTACAGACACTGCTCAGATCTTATCTTTAGCAAAAGACGTCCAGGTGTATCGTATACCTGCATCTCTCCGCTGTGGTTCCACCTAAAAACCATTGCATCACTACTGCATCCCTTTGAGCCCAACTCTGAGCAAAGCAAGAACACCCTCCCTCTCCCTATAGATGGTCAATGAAAAAAAAAAATCTAAATGCCCTGTTTACTTATCCAAAGACATGTATTGTTCAGTTCCCAAGATTTCTCTCCTTTTTTGTTACATCAGGTGGGTCCTTCTTCCATCACTGCCTATTTGATATGGACACAAGGTCCAGTGGCAGAGGTTCTATTGCAGAGGCTTTGGAAGCAGCAGAACTACAGGGGGTAACAAGGAGAACAGTCCCAAAGAAGATAGCGAGTGGCTGAATTGATCCAGTCCCAGGGGCAGGAAATAAGATTTCTGGAGCAAGGAAGAGGTGAGTATTGTAAAGACTAGATCTTGTAATGTGCCAAGACAAGGTGTTTGCAGCACCCACCCAGGAGAAAGGCAAGTCATTTACTACATTGAATGCTTTAGATAGGGAAGATCCTAGCAGTGCTTGCAACTGTATGGGCTTGTTTATACATGTGTTGCCCTCGGAAAAGCAATCCACAGTGGATAGCTTTTCAGAGTGCGTTTGACAGGGAGCGCGCGTGCAGGGTGCCCTTATAGCATCCAGCTATAAGAAGCAGACAGCACCAGTGGGGGACTTCCAGAAGAGGAGGTAAGTATAACATAATTTTTATAGTAAAGGGAAAAAAAAAACCCCTTAAGTATCACTTTAACACCTGAAATCCCGCATCATCATTTCACAACAGCGTGCACTGAACACAGATGAGCAGCACAGTCAGATTCAGCTTTGTTTTACCCTCTTCTAACTCTATACTGGTCCCTTAAAGTGATGTGTAACCTTAATGAGCAGAAGAGAGGCTTGGGAGGATGGAGGAATTTTAGTGAGAAAGCTCAGCACTGCCTTTTTGGTTATTTACTGCCTCTAACTAAAATTGCTCACAATTCTGAATAAGCTTTGAAGAGAAGTATGCCCCCACAAATACTTATTTAGAGGTCTGTTGTTAATAGGCCTGAATAGCAGGAGATCAATTTACACAGGATATTCACAACATAGTAGTAAATCACTCTACATAAAATGTGCAGCTGCAATCCCTGGTGCAATAAATGATAGCTGCAAGTGGTAACTACCAAATATGCATATGAAATAAAAATTTCTTAGTCCAACACGTTGTATATAAAATATACACAAAAAACATTATATATTCTATATAATGGAAACCTGTACTGAGAGAAATACAGTGGCTGGTACTGCATAAAATTCTGTCTCTGGCTACAATGTTTTAAGTTACTGAGCAGGAACAAAACATGGATATATCAGGAAGGTCAGAACTCCGATCTGCATACTTGTAGTGGATCAGTACGTCAAACACAAAGTGTTAAAGCCATAGGATCAGAATGAAAGCCAGGTGACAAGAATTTTCAGAAAAAGAGATCAGAAATGGTACTCTCCATATTTCCTTTAATAGGCCCATGACAATAAACCAAGCAGAAATATGGCAGCCCCTGTCTCAGTAGAATAGTTTAACAGGACAAATCAATACCTGAATCTTTGGCGTAGTGTGTCTGCCAAGCCTGCCACGATTGCCTGGCAATCTGTTTGGATGCCATGGAAGGAAGGCATGTGCTGATACTGCTGGAGTACACTTTTGGCTTTGGTATGATATGACACAGCCTGGGAAAAAGCACCCATTTCAATGCACTTCTTCAGTCGAGCAGGGAGTTCAAACAGGAACTGCAGTTTGCGCAGGAGGGTGTGCACACCTGGATGTCAGAACAGAGACACGTGTGAACCATGAGCAGAATAACATAGATCAATAACTGTTTTTTATTATCATTAGTTTTAATCTGGTTGCACTGTAGAGTAATCAGCAGAGAAGAGGCTTTGCTTTGTGTCCCCCTATATTTAAATCCTGGAAGCTCTCAACACAGCTCTGCAATACTGCAAATAATTACTCAAATCCTCCATGATCACAACAAATCAATATCAATATGGACACCCAGACTCTAGCTTGAAATGTAATTTATAGCTGATGAACTGCTGCTTGTTCTCTCTTTTCATTTTTTATTACAGGTATTAGTATAGTGCTGACAGTTCATGCAGTGCTTTACATAATGTACATGGACACAGGTCCCTACCCTGACGGACCTTACAATTGGAGGTCCCTACCTCACATACATACTATACATAAATATACCAGAGCTAATTAACCTGCCACAAGGTATTTGGAGTGTTAGAGGTAACCGAAGAACCGGGAGGAAACCCATGCACATACAGGGAGACCTTGGAGACAATGTTCTGATTGGGACTTGAACCAAGGACTCTAGTGCTGCAAGACTGGCGTTGAATATCACTGAGTTATATTTCATTTAGAGTCCCTGCTTCAAGTCCAAGTCTAACCAAAACCTCATTTTTTTTAGTTTTGGATGGAGTGGGCTAGATCCATTGTCAGGTTTTACACCGCCTGTGTCTCTGCCAGGGGAGCTTTTTTTTTTTTTACACTTCCTGTCCTCCCTTAATATCGAGCAAGGAAATGAGGTGAAATTTCTCCATCAAAGAAACAAAACAGCAATAAAAGCATTTTTAGTAGTGTGGGGAAAAGTCAGAACTTCAGTCGAAGTGAGGAATCTCAAAGACTCAAAGTGGTTGTAAAAGTTCAAGGTTTTTTTTTTTACCTTCATGCATTCTATGCTTGAAGGTAAAAAATTCTGTGTGCAGCCCCCCAGTAATTACAGGAGCCCCATCGTGATCCAGCAATGTGCATGTGAGCCTTGGTTCTCCATGGACTCTCCCTCCTGTCAATCACAGTCAGTGAACCTATGAGGAGAGCAGGGAATGGGGCCGAGACTCTATGTGTGAACTGACATGCAGAGGAGCAGCTCGGGAGCAAGCCTGCTTGGGTGCCTCCATAGCAAGTTGCTTGCTCTGGGGGCACTTGGCAGGAGGGAGAGGCCAGGAGTCCTGGCGGGGACCGTGAAGAGGAGGATCGGGGCTGCTCTGTACAAAACCACTGCACAGAGCAGGTAAGTATGACATTTTTTTTTTTTTTTTTTTAATTGCCTTTAATATCATTTCAAGGGTGAACTATTAAAAAAACAACTATGAAATCAAAGGAAGACTGTGACAAGAGGCACTGTTGTGTCACTCTCTTAATCATACATGTCCTCTTGGTCTAAAGATACACAGGAAGGATGAAGCATCATTGGCATCACTCACCACTAAGCTTGGTAATATGTTGGTGTCTCTCCTGCAAGGTACTGCTGATGCGGGCACTAAATTCAGTGATTACTGCCATGTTAGCTGCCAGTCCATCCATCTCATCCTCCATCTTTTTAAAATCATTTTTCATTTTACGAATGGTATCTGAGGGATTGAACAATGACATCTGTTCAGCAAAAATATTATGAACATTTGTTATGCAAACCATTTAAAGAACCAAAAGCTATCAAATCATTACAGTCAGAAATATAAACACAACCTGCCATCCTTTTTATGCCATCCCATCATTTACCTGTAGCGGATATGAACTTATTGTAGTTCTCATAGACCAAGGTCTGCATATCACTGTCCAAAGCGCGTATCTGACGAACCATGTCAGCTTCAACATCCATCAACTCTGCTAGAGAGCTCTCTTTTCTCAACTGCAGATACAAAAATGAAAATGAAAATTAAATACAGTTTTATATAGCTGACATAACATATGTAATCACACAAATATAAAAACATCTGGGTAAATGTATTACAGAGACATTCCACTCTAGATAGTGGTTCAGGGCAGATGCTAGAAAATGGGGTTCTAATTTGCAACCATTGCTTATCCACAATTTGCCATTCTTGTTCGTAATAAAAAAAAAAAAATTCCAGGCATGGATTTTTAACACAGTTACAATGATCAGCTTAGACCAATGTAACTATAGATTGTATATACCATACCTGTAGAATCCCTCTAGAACGGGGGTCAGCAACCTGTAGATCACGGCCAGGTGACTTGTAGATTGCACATCAGTGTGAAAAAAGCATTATTGAGGACTCAGAACAGTAAGTGTTCATGTACATTTACAGTTTGGGTGGTGATAAAATTCCATAGTTAAGGCATGTTTTTACCACCCCCGCTACAACCGCACCCCCTTTAGTTGCAGTGGCCAGGGGTGTACACATGTCGCAGCCGTACCAGGAGTTATGCGCACTGTCATGGTTGGTGGGTGTAGCACCTGCCAAGAATGACCCATTCAAGTGAATGAGGCCGCTCTACAAGTGATCTGCAATCTTGTGCAGTACAGCAAGCAAGGGGTTAAAGCAGGCAGAGTGTTGCTTTCTCACCACCTGTTTAACCCCTTGGATCCCGCAGAAGTATGCAGTTGCAGGGTGCTTGCAGAGTGGCCCTATTTACTTGAATGAGTCATGATTGACAGGCAGTAGCACCCACCAAAAATAACAGGAGGTTTAATTCCTACTGTGACATATGTACACCTTTGGCTACTGCCTCAGCAGCTAAAAGGAGGTAGTGATTGGGGGCAGTAAAACCACAATTAAACTGCAGAGAGTTACCACCTCCAACTTTTTGTGTGAACAAGCCATAAGGGGTGCTGCTGCCGAATTCAACTAAGGGCTCATTCACAAGTGCAGCAGGCACCACTGCTCCTCTGAAAAGTGATCTGAGTATGTTTGATAGGTGGTGAGGAGTTGATATATTGCATCCTCATCACCTGATTTAAACTCATGATTCCTGTGCAATGCACGTGACTGCAACATGGTTTTAAGGCAATTAAGGGTTTAAATCAGGTGTGAAAAGACGACACTGTGCCTGGTGATCTTTGACATCTCCCATGTTGTTCAGATAATTCTTCCAATTGCATTTAAACCCGGCAATGACATTTAGCGTCAGCAAGTGAGAAAGCCTGCCTGTATACACTGCTCCTTTCCTACCCCCTCCTTGCTCACACTGCCCTCTCCCCCATAAAAAAAGAGGACCTGTCACTTATATGCCATCACATAGAAAAAAAGAAAAAATCTTCATCACCCCCCACAAGTAGTACAGTGTCACTATGGTGACAGTAGGTTAAAAAAAATTATAATTTTTGGTTATAAACTAATTTGGGTTATTTTTTTTTACTAAAAAGATAGATGAATACATTTTGGCCAAGATTTATGAAGAAAGATTATTTATTTGCAAAATTTTATAAGACAAACACTTCTTTTTCAGAATTTTGGACTTTTTCATTTATATAGCAAAAAAAATAAAAATCCCAGTGGTAAATAAATACCACCAAAATAAAGTTTTATCCGTCTCAAAAAAATGCTGAAAAATTCATATGGGTACAGTGTTGCATGACGATGCAATTGTCAAAGTGTGATAGCGCTGAAAGCTGAAAATCGACCTGGACTGGAAGGGGGTGAAAGTGTCCGAACTTGAACTGGTTAAACCATCACCTATGGAAAATATAAAGTTAAAAATATAGGGTATTGACGTTTTTTCGCTGTTTTTTGGGTGCATACAATTTTAATGCTTGACGTTTTGGGTATCTATTTACTCTGTGCAACTTTATCTTTTACCAAACAATTGGGTAAATTATTGTGTTTGTGTGCCCTAAAATTAACGTGTGTGCGTGTGTGTGTATTCTGAAATTTTGCATTTTATAAACCATTGCACTAATATCAAGTGAAATCAAAAATTGGAACAAATACAAATTTATTCTCTACGGTGTCTGCTTTCAGAAAATTTATCATGTTTGGGGGTTTTAAGTGATCTTCAGGCCTACAATTATTTTTTAATCATGTAAACCAAACAAAAAAAAAAAAAAAAAATGGAAAAATGGCTCTGGGACACAAGTGGTTAAATGGATGTGAAAAAAAACTGATGAAAAACTGATCCTTTTCTTTCTTTGAAAAAACATGACTGAACTGATGAAACAAATGGAATGTCCGTGTGAAAGGACCCTGAGTGTGAGGAGATGGAGGCTCCCTTTGATGGTAAAAGAAGGGATGGAGGCTGCGTCTGAGGTGAGGGAGGCTGTCTATGAGGAGATATGAGGGACAGAGACTGTCTCTGAAGAAAGAGAGGCTCCTCTGTGATGGTATGGGGGATGGAGGCTCCTCTGAAGTAACAGAGCTTTTATAAGGTGGTGTGTCCGCCTCGTAAAGTCCTCCATCACAGGGTCTGTGGGTCTTATATAGAGATGTGTGTCAGGGAGTCTTATACAGAGGTAGGTAGGTGATAGGGGGTCTTATATAAAGGTCGATAGGTGTCAGGGGGTCTTATATAGAGGTTAAGTGTCAGGGGGTCTTATATAGAGGTAGGTACGTGTTAGGGGGAAATATATAGAGGTTGGTAAGTGTCGGGGGGTCTTTCCATAGAGGTTTGTAGGTATTTGAGGTCTTATATAGAGCTTAGTAGGCGTTGGGGGGGGGGGGGGGTCTTATATAGAAGCTTGGTAGCCCAGCTGGGGGGGGGGCTTTTAATAGAGCTTAAAGGGCATCTGGGGGGGGGGGGGGGGGGGGTCTTATATAAGCTTGGTAGGCGTTGGGGGGTTCTTTTATAGAAGTCAGTTTTTTCCTGTCACTGATGACTTGGAATACACTTTTAATTTTCACATATTAGGTTGTTAGAGTATTAAAATAAAAGTTGGGGGCACCGAAGGACTCGGTGGGATGACAGTGGGAGGGCCCTGTCAAATGTTGGCGGCCATGCCCAGCTGTTGAGGCCCAGCCTAAAGTGGTGTAAGGGGCCATAAAATTTAACTGATGTCTGCCTGCTCGGGACCTACATACATTATAAGTGAGGATTGTTTATTTCTACAATGTCAAAGAAATGCTACATTAATTTGCAGATTTATGCAATCATGGATGTCTTATATGGCATTATTAAGAAGATATACCACTCACACAGAAGTATAGACTGACACAGAAGCTGGAATTATTTGCCCTAATTCAAGACAACAGTTTAAGGGTTCAACTGCTGCCTGTATTTCTGATATAGGAATTTTGGCAACACGACTAGTACCGTCTGGACACACAACAAGTCACATACTGATCTCAGTGAGAACATGGAACACAATCCACATTGATCTGTTTTCCACTTATATTATTACCTGCTGAACATATACATGTCTTCCAGTTATGTCATATTCCGACAATAATCTTTTTGGCACTTTAGACATCATGCCACCTGATTTTGTCAGAATATATTTTTTTTCCCAGCTAACAAAAATATTTGATAGTATTTTTAAATTTATATTCATTTAAAGTCATGATATTAATGAAAAAAGTCGAATATAATATATGCAATTCTATTATTTAAAAACTGGCAAATTTCGGTTTTCGACCAAGTGCATCCTGAATTTTCGGTTTTGGCACCAGAATTTTCATTTCGGTGCACCGCTAGTTGTAACCCCTGTAAAAACTGTTTGGCCATCAGTGTCCCATTGGGGAGATTTATCTTTAATTCCTATTCCATAGCCAAAACAGGAAATCCCTCCAAAGTGAGGGTGCCCCCAGTATCACCAGCATTAGTGTCCCCATTGGAAGATTTTCCCTCTATTACCGTTCTGGGGACAACCAAAATTTGGGATTTACTTTCACTAAAATGGTAAACATGACAAATAGAGAGAGGGATTCTCCCCAACAGGGACTCAGAAGTTAATAGAAAAACTGACAGGTGTCATGCGGATTGGATGCGGTCCAAACCACAACCGATCTGCATATATGTGAATGGGCACTAAAGAGGAAGAAGCCTTACAATCGGGACACGTGCTCCTCGAACTACTTTCTAAGGGGATTTCCTTCCCTTTGCAGAGATTTCTTCTCACTTCCTGCTGTGTGTCTGGACAGGAAGTACAGGAAAATCTCCCCAAAAGAACACAGTAAAAAAAACTGACAGAGGAGTTAACCATTTCCTGTTCTATCCAACAGTAGAATATTAGTCTGATCATTAATCACATGGACCAGATCTCCACTGAGCTGTACGGGTGTGACTGTGGGGTGGACAGGGAGATATACAATGAACCCTATGATGTACCCTACTCTGTATATACAACACAGCCTCATACACAGGACAGGACACTCAGCATTGACGGCCGGATATGACGTCACCTTAGTCAGATACATGTCTGGGTTGAAGTGAACGCCATCAATGTCGGTGGGATCCAGCAGCCTCTCACCGCTCTTTCCTTCCTCCGTCATACCATAATACAGCTTCAACATTCCGTGAGCTTTCCGTTTCCTTCCCATATCCTCTTCCTCCATACTGCCGGTGTCCGCCATCTTTCCTTTACCACACAGCAACCTTCTGCTAAACTGCGCAAGCGTAACAGCTGCCGATTCCTGCACTTGCGCAGAAGGGGAAGCCTCGGCAGAGGATGGAACTAGGCCAGCGATGCCGCATGCGCAGTAGGGGCTTCTCTGGACACTATAATATCACCGTATTGGAGAATAATGTTGAAGACTTTACATTTTAGTACCTAAACGGTTACTGAATGTGGAAGTGTTAATAGGAGTTAGAATGCTAATACATGCTTGAGTTACATAAAAACATAGCAAGCCATCTATAAAATATGTGAGAGATTTTTTTCAGATTGAAAGTATATAAGTAAAGCTGGTTATATTTGTTAAAGTAGAACCAAAGACTTTTCCTTGTAGCCTCCCTATCGGTCTGATTATGTCCATATTTCTGTGCTCAAAGTGGTAAATTATTTTGCATGGAAATATGTATTTTTCTATTGTAGGCCTGTAATTTTTAGGGATAACTCACTGAAATCTGTCCGAACAAGAGTCTAGTAAACATCCCGGGTATGATAAAATTTGAAACACAAAATCATAAATTATAATTTAATAAATAATCATAAAAAAATAATATAATAATAAATTTAATTCAATAATGTAATCAAACCAAAAACACTGAAATTTGAAATAGAGCGCCAAGTTCGCACATCACTGAGCAAAGTCGCAAAATCGTTTTCAGTGTCCGATGACGAATTTCCCCTTACGAATCATTATCACTCAATTCTGCAAGTGGTTGTAATTTACTATCGCTGTTCTCTCGCTGGTCTAAAACCGCTTTTGACCTAAAGGGACACTTTTTGGACGCCATGGACATTTCTCAGTTTCCAGGCAGAAAGAACAGTAAAAATGCAGGGCAGGGCACAGGGACTCGGGACAAAATGTATGTGAAATGGTTTTATACAGTAATGTTTTACTATGTGATTTTAGTGTATTTAGTGAATGTCACTTTTACACATTTTTCAATTTCGCGCTGTTCCTGTCCCCCGTATGTCCCGACGTCGCAGGGAACGGAACCCAGAAGACAGATGCCGGCATCGGCCGGAGGACATTGCCGAGGACACTGCAGGGGGGACATCGTGGGAGTGCAGGACAAGGTAAGTGCAAAAGAGATCCCGGAGCAACGCTGCAGGGTATTCTCGAGTTTAGCTCGGGGTTATCGCTTGTGGTGCTGAAACTTTACCCCGAGCTGCACTCGGGAATACCCCCAGGGAGGTTAACTAGAGTAAGTGAGGGCTTTCAGTTGTTTTTTTTTTTGCCATCTGTGTCCCGTTTGGGGAGATTTCCCTTGATTTCCTGTCCCATAGCTAAAATAGGAAGTGAAAATCTCTCCAAAGTGAGGGAATCCCTGGATACCACCATGGTCACCAGAACTAGTGTCTGCATTCTATTACTGTTCTGAGGACAACACAAAATTTGGGGTTTTCTTTCACTTTAGTGATAATGTTAACCACTTGCCGTCCAGAGGATTTACCCCCTTTCCTGACCAGGCCATTTTTTGCAATATGGCGCTGCATTACTTTAACTGACAATTGCGCGGTCATGCAACGCTGCACCCAAATCAAATTTATGTCCTTTTTTCCCACAAATAGCTTTCTTTTTGTGGTATTTGATCGCCTCTGCGTTTTTATTTTTTACGCTATAAACAAAATAAGACCAACAATATTGAAAAAAACCCCAATATTTTTGACTTTTTGCTATAAAACATAACCAGTAAAAAAAAAACTTAAAAAATCAAATTTCGTCATAAATTTAGGCCATTCTGCTACGTCTTTACTAAAAAAAAAAAAAATCCCAGTACATGTAAATTAATTGGTTTACGTGAAATGGCGGTATATATACTGGAATTTAAAAAAAAATGTTATACTAGTCATGGCGGCGATCAGCGACGTATGCAGTGGGCATTCTGACATTAGATGGGAACTGTCACTGACATCCCCAGTGTCACTGATACAGTGATCAGTAGTAATAATAAGCACTGACACTGTACTAATGACACTGGGCAGGAAGAGGTTAACATCTGGGGCGATCAAAGGGTTAACTGTGTGTGTTTCACATTATGTGCTGTTTTACTACATAAGCACACTGTTTTGTATTGCTGTGCTATGCAGAGCAATACAAAGCAGCATGCTGGTGCTGACTGAGGAGAGATATGTATTGTTTACATAAAGACCTCGCCGCTGCCCGTGTTCCTCAGCGATCACAGGGTGCTGGCGGGGAATCTCTGGCCAGGACCCGGTGAACAACAGCTGTAGCCGCCAATGGCGGCATGGGTAGGGTGACGCGCGCCCCCTACCCAGAGATGCAAAATCACGTATATATACGTGATTTTGCGCAGCCCTGCTGCCCTGTAGCAGTAGTCCTGCTATAGGGTGGTCAGAAAGTGGTTAAAGAAGGAATCCAGGGTGGGCAAAAAAAAACAAAATCACCCAATAATACACCCCCTACACAATACAACAAACAGTTAATATAATTTTGAAAATCCTTACCATTTAGGAGAAAAGTCTAATTGAATTTTCATGACCTCGTCTCTGTGATTCAAAAGATAACAGCATCTGCTCTGCCAAGGAGGGATGTAACAGCCAAGATTACATCATATCATCTCCTCTCTCTCTGCAGTAAAAGGAAACTACAGTTCCCATCAACCACAGGGAATTGTAGTGAATGTGGGCGGGTACAATAGGCCTGTACATGTTGAATGCTTCTTAGAGTCTCGGTCCACCCACCACTGCAATTACACCACTGCTTCCTGGAGAAAGAACTACAGAAGGATGTGCCAAGACCAGTGGCCAGGGGAATAGGAGGCATAGCAGCCACTGGTCTTACAAACAGGAAACCAAAGAGAATGAACGGTTTGAGTTAAAAATGAGTAGCCTATTTCAGAGCAACTATTGAGTGAACCAGAAGATGGATTACATATTCATTGATGGTAGGAAATCAGCAACAAGGACATGTAAAGAAAGTTTTGCCCGGAGTTCTGCTTTAGACATGACAAATAGGGAGGGTGAACGAGGATAGGGACACAAATAGCAATAAAAACCTGACAGGTGTTCTAATCCCTCTCCACTGTATCCAAAACTAAAAAAAAAAAAAAAAAAAGGTTTTGCCTTTGGTTATACTTAAGGTTTCTCTTGTTCACCTCTGTTAATCACTCAATTGCCCATCCATACTAAACAGTACAGATGGAGGAATCAGCAGTGCCAGATATTATACTGGGACAGCTGGCTGTCTGAATACCTGAACAGTGACTGCATCTGATTGGACGTTCTCACTGTTTGGTGGATTATTCTTCACCCAGCTTCATCAACAAAAGTCAATTGATTAACCCAAAAAATTAGTTGAGCTGGGAGGTGATGACAGGGCCACCCATGCAAAGAATTTTGGCTGATTCAGCAGGAATCATCTATAATATGATGCGTGCATGGCCAGTTTAGCTAGGGTAAGCAATTACGGGGAAGTTGTTGCAAAGCACAAGATTTTGTTCTCATTCACAAGGGCATACTTAAGCGTACACTCATGTGAGGGCCCTGTCACACCTGCACAGGTGATCCTTGCAATCTGCATGCATGCAATCCCATTCATGTCACACCCACACAGATGTCAAATTGGGAGCAGCAGTTGTATCCATGCAGTTGCTGTGGCTCAATTGGATCAATGTGCCAGACTAAACAAATTCTTCTCTTGTAATCTCTGGTGCCACACGTGATCCCAGCTTCAGTGCTCACTCACTAGAAACTCATGACATCATATACATCAAAGGTATTTGCCAAAAGTATTGGGACACCTGCCTTTACATGCACATGAATTTTAACGGCATCCCAGTCTTAGTCTGTAGGGTTCAATGTTGAGTTGGCCCACCCTTTGCAGCTATAACAACTTCAACTCTTCTGGGAAGGCTGTCCACAAGGTCTAGGAGTGTGTCTATGGGAATGTTTTGTTTGATCATTCTACCAGAAGCGCATGTGTGAGGTCAGGCACTGATGTCAGACGAGAAGGCCCAGCTCACAGTCTCTGCATTAATTCATCCCAAAGGTGTTCTGTCGGGTTGAGGTCAGGACTCTGTGCAGGCTAGTCAAGTTCCTCCACCCTGAACTCCCTCATCCTTGTCTTTATGGACCACACTTGACTGTTGATTGCTCAGTTTTTGGTCTGTTCAGAGCACCTCCACTGCTCCCTGGTGTGTCGGGCTGTGAATGGAGCAGGATCGGCTGGCTCAGGCTCTCAGTGGACATAAACAGCAATAAACCTTGACAGGGGTTCTAAGCCTTCTCTACAAAAAACATTTGGCTTTAATTTCAAGTGTATGTAAACCCTAACAATCAGTGCTGGGACAAGGTAATTCAGCACCCAGGGCAAGGATGGTGAATTGTGCCCCCCCAGCTGCAATCCACTTTAGAGTCCCCCTTTACATCAAGTGTCCCCAAGAGTCCCACTTTACATCAGGTGTCCCATTAGAGTCTCCCTTTACATCAGGCGTCCCCAACAGTCTCCCTTTACATCAGATGTACCCAGTAGAGTACCCCTTTACTTCAGGTGCCCCCATGCCCCTGAGTTGTTGCACTCCCCCCCTTTTTTCCATTTACTAGGAGATGGGTAACTACAGCATCTCCTTCCTCTCTCCTTTCATGTGACAAGGGGAGAGAAGAAGAAGGAAACAGTCCATCCTCCTTCCTCAGCAGTGAGGCTCTGAGACTGAGGGCAGTTCTCTGTCTCAGCGCCAGCTCTTTTCTGCTCCGTTCAAGCTGGAGGGAGATAAAGCCGTTGGCTGCTGCTTCTTCTAACAGGAGTGACACTGCAGACACTGACTGTATTGTGCCAAGTGTAAAGTTTGGTGGAGAGGGATTATGGTGTGGGGTTGTTTTTCAGGGGTTGGGCTTAGCCCCTTAGTTCCAGTGAAGGTAACTCTTAAGATGTCAGCACACCAAAACATTTTGAACAATTTAATGCGCCCAACTTTGTGGGAACGGTTTGGGGATTGGTCCTTC